TATGTGTTCATTACAGAAAGTGTGTCTATCGGACAATCAGATTAAAATCATGAGGCTCTTTCAGTCTAAACCATGACAGGTTTATCCTTTTCCCCCAAACTAGTTCAAATAAAGACAAAAATAAAGCAGATCTGGTCAATTTCTGAGACATTCAACAGGTTTAAGAAAGGAAGTCATCCATTTTCAGCTCATTGTGTGACAGCAGCTGTTATATTATTTGACAGTTTAGAATTAGCTGATTCTTTCTACTAGTTTTCAGCGCTGCACAGCAGCAGTAATGGACTCTAAAACCCTGTGTAAAAGCAAGCTGCATTCATGCATTCCTCCATTTTCCTATAAGAAATACATTTCATTTCTCACCTCTGTGGAGGATTGAGCCCGTTGCTGTAGGTCGAGTTGGTGTGCTCTGCTATGGAGCTCTGGGTTTGGTTTCTGCTAATATTGGAAGCTTTGCTCTGCTGTGGTGATCCGGGTTTCCTCTTTTCATCCAACATTTCCAAAAGCCAAGCAGAAACGTTAACCCAAACCAACACGGACGTCAGGTTATTTCTGCATTTAGCTGTAACCTTCACACCTCTTCAGTGTTCTTATGGGTGAAGCAGATATTTACTTTAAAGTTTGAATGAATCTTGAAAGCCCAGAACAGGTCAATACAGGAAAGATGTTTGCCGGAGCACCAAAGAAATTCTTGAATTAATTCAGTCATAAAATCCCAAATTTAGTCCAAAAATGTCTCCTACAGAGAAGAATCCAACACTTTAAGTAGGAATGAGTAAAAAAAGCAATACTCTCCTAACTAAATGATTAAATCTCTACACATTTACTTGTATTATAAGTTCAAATCCTTGTCTCCCATGAGCAAGGCTCTTCTAAAACTTCAGCAGCTCTTTTGGAGGAACTCAAAGCAGTCCGAACCACAAGAGGCAACTGGGAAAACTGCTTCTCTACATTACAGCCATCCCTCTGAGGCAGCAGCTGGATGGGGGTGGAGGTAGGTGGGGGGTGGCTGGGTGGAGTCAGGAAATAGTCTTGGAGAAATTATATTTAAAACAGACAAGTTACAATCATAACAGAACTAAGTAAATTCTATTAAACAAGAGAGAAAAATGTATGGGAGATCAAATCAATAGCTGAAGGTTAAAGCATTATCTGTAATGTAGTATATCTGATTTAAACTAACAACAAAAACTCCAAATCATCCTTTACTTTGCTGCTTTCACCATCAGTCTGGATGGATCAACAGTTTCATGCATGTTCAGTTTTTATAATTAGCAGGTATGGCAACATTACTTCTACATTATGGAAACTAGAGATAAACCGATATGTCGTCTGGCCGATATTTTTGGCCAATTTTAGATTGTTTTTCTTATTGGTATCAGCCAACATGAGCATGTTTTCACTGAATCACAGCAGCTGTGCCTTAAGATCATGTGAAGCGCGTGGATTATCGCTTCCATTTTCTATTCATTGTTAATGTTTCTTTTGATCTATTATTAAATGTTTCATTTATACTTAAATTAAAAGGTTTAACCTGTGTTATCGTGTAATTTTTATAACTGGAGAAAGAAAACATAATATTGGCTTAAAACATCGACCCCAAAATGTCCACTGAATATATACAGTATCTTCATGAGCCTTAAATTAATAAAAAAAAAAAGGTGTATTGTTTGATCTCTGATGAAAACCATATTTTTCAGGGGGTTTTGCTAAACAGCATCAAGGTGTAAAGCAATAAAAAAAAATTAAAAATAGAGAGAAATTACAACACAAAAACAGAAAGGGATTTTTAGACAGAGGCTTATGATTATATACAGTTTATTCTAAAAAAAAAATAATAACAATATTACAAAATATTAAGAGAGTTGATGATTATTACTTATTTTGGAACATGATCAATTTGTTTATCCAATCTCTGCTTTCCCGAAATTTTCTTAAAACTAAATCTTTTTCTAGATAAAACTTAATTTCTTTTTCTAGATCATAGCTACTCAGATTTCATTCACCTTTTTTTTTTAAATTAATTCTTATAAACCACATTTTTGATCCAGATGACATTTTTAGTTCACTCGGCGCAAAAAATTGGTTTCTTTTATTTTCTACTGAATGTTTTAACAAGTTCTTTGATAACAAAGTTTAGTAAAGGATAAAATGTGTTTGTCTACAAAACAAGCCCATTGGAAAATAGAACAGATATGTTGTATTTTAAATCTAAACACAATCGTTTTCTATAATAATTAATAGGCCTAATCATGCAAATGACTACACAGATGATGGAGATGAGGTCAGCCCATCTTCTATTAAAACAAGCAAGAAAAAAGCAGTAGAAACAAACTTTACCATTTATGCAAAAACAAACAAACAGAGGCTGATAGATGGTATAGATCAATCCTTTTATTAAAAGATTAAGTGAATTTAAATATTTACTATAACAGGTTTTAATTTTCCTCCTCTCTGCTGACCTCTTGTGGCTATGAGAAGTATATCCTCTGTAGATGTTACTGCTATGGTAAAGCTTTCTGTTTCATATGTGTGCAGAAGTGGTTAAATAATCAGAGCCTCTGTGTTTAAACGCCTCCTACTCCATGACCGATGGAGATATGAACCTTGACACTCGGTGCTTGTTTGAACCTGATTATGAATGAATAACTGCATCCAGGTGACGTAGCATCAAGCTGAGGAGTACTAATCCCAGGTTGTGTTAGGAATAATCCTAATATATTAGGATTAAATATACTTGTTAAAACCCTAAATACCTAAATTGTTTATAATATTGAGGTTTATTCTTATCTTTTAATGATATAGTTTTTTTCTACCTGTTGTATAACATATAAATTCCACTGTTCTAAATAATCTTCCTCAGAAGTCAGATTAGTTGCAGCAGAGATCCATTTTCTCAGTAGAAATGCAATCAAATTCATTGCTAAATCAAAGTTAGGAGAATAGAATGGGAGGATACTGAGCAGCCAATGCAGATATATCAGTCTATATATATAATAACAGTTACTATTCTAGGCTTGATAAGGGGGTGTGTATGTCAGTGACTGGGATACTTAACAGCAGTTATCAGTTCTACACCAACTTAGTGTGACACTTTGTTCACTGAGGTATAAGAACACACCTAAAATGTTTTTCATTGCTTTGTGACGCTGGTGAACACTTCCAATTATTATATGTATATATATATATATATATATATATATATATTTTTTTATTTTTATTTTTATTTTTTTTTAACCAATCCTCTGCTAATCTTAGATTAAATCATATTGTAGTTTAATGCCTGGTTACAATTTCTCTGCTTTAAGAAGAAATGCCATTAAAAGAGTGATCACTCCAAGCAAAAGAACTGGAAATATAAGCCCTGAGGTGTAAGTAACTTCAGGAAGCAGTAACCTTCATCGCAGCTTTTTTTTTTAGGTAATCTAAATTTGTTCTTATCTCATCTCTTCTATACACTGGAAACAAAAATATAAATCTAGATAAGTCATTTTCTTTTCTTAAAATAAGTGCATTTGTTCTTGTATTGAGGAGGTAAAAGAAATTTTTTGCATATGGAACATGACAATTTACATTTAAAATAAGAAAACACAACGGTATTTTCTTATTTCAAGTGCATGTTATCTAATTATCATATTTTAAGAGTAAAAAAACTCTTTCCATTGGCAAACTACCTCATTTACCAACTCAAATTAAGGGTAAATACCCTTAATTTAAGAAATATTTACTTATTTTTCCAGCGTAGATTCTCTATATGCAGGTCAGATTAGCCCAGTTGGTGGACCGATCAAGCACATCAGCACCATGATGATTGGACTAACTTCTGTTGGAAAATCAAGTCGTCATCATCACTCAGCTCATCAGCAGGAGGCAGCATGAGGCACTCCGATGTTTCCTGGTAAGGAATTACTGGATTGGACTTCAAGCAACATGGATTCTGCTCCTCTCCACTCCAGGAGCTTGATCTCTAAATAATAATAAAAAAAGTACTTTCTTTTGGAGAGAGGATTTTAGATCGCTGAGCACTGAACATCCAGCTTCTTTAGCAACGACCTTATGTACCTTATCTTCTTTGGTGGAAGGTTTTAATGGCTGCTGAACATCTTTTTAGTCAACAGTCTTCCCAGTTGTTAGCCATATCACTGGCTGTTACATAACACCTGTATGTTAAAATACTTTTAGAATTTATTTTATGAAATCTCCTGAGCCGGTAAACTTTATATTTTCATTGTCTGTGAGCTTTAATTGTTAATTTAAAGGCTCAGAATATTTTATTCTATGTGTAATTAACCATATTAATTTTTACTTTCTCAATTTAAAGCCCCCCTCAAAAAATACTAAATGTTCATTCTACAAAATATTTTTAAGATATCTGGATTCAACCTTTCTTTGGAGATCTGTATTTAACTCGACACCCAGTTTCCAAATTACTTTTGTCTCTCTGCTTTCTGACATCATGAGGTTTGTAGTTTTCTTTTTTTTTTTTTTTTTTTTAAAGCCTCATCCTACAAATCTGAAAAGAAACAAACAAGGTAACAGCTCACTTATAAAACATAGAAAAAAGAACCCCCCAAAAAAAAGAAATGGAGAAACTAGTAAATGTACAAATTGATGCTATAGATGTATTTTTAAAACATTGCATGGAATATAAGAATCATTTTTTTAAACTTTAAGCTCTAAAATTAAGATAATTTAAGAATTAGATTTTTTTTAAGATCAGGAAGAAATCCTTGTTTTCAAAAACAGACCATGAGAGAGAAAAGAAATCACGTTCAACTGAGGGCTCTGTTAAAGATATTACTTTGTTTCACAAAATGCAAAATAAAACATCCATCCACCAAAAGTACAGTGAAACATCCAAACAGCAGTAGTACTTCAGTACAATGTAGTGCAACATGTCACAGTCAGCAGGTACATGTATTAACCAATCACAAGGGGGCAGCAGAAACATCTGGAATATTTACATTTTTATCCAAATATAAGAGGATTTAATTAGATTCCGGGATGTTTATAACTAAAGCGATTTAAGCAAAATTCAAAAACTTATAGTTGGGAAGTTAAAACAAAAATTAGGTTTGTTATTTTACAAATAAACAAATGCACAATAAAGAGGAAAAAAAGGACAAGTAAATCAGATATGTTCGAAAGTCCCTGTATGATTCCGTCGCTGACATGCTAATCGACACAAAGAGATGATCAAGTTTAAAGCCTCGCAAAAATCATTCACCCATAAACTATCCATCTTATTTACACATTAAATAAACTGTGATTGAAGTAATATATATATATTTATATCTCATAGGCACACTCTAAACTAAGCAAGGCCTTCAGTTGGAAACAAAACATGAACAAGACGTTTTATTACTCTTAACCCAGAGAATAAACCTGTTTCCATGGTTACACGATTAAAAACAATGCCTCTAAAGTTGAATGCTTCATGCTTAAAATGTTCATTTAGGCTTCATGAGGAAAAAAAGATGCTCTTATGGTTTTTATTTCAGACATCATCTTGTTATTGTAGAAGCTACACCTGCAGGTGAAGCTGGTGGATTCAAGTCATCTGAAACTCATTAAACCTTCACTTCTTTAAGTTTGACTTAGAGTCTGACGCTTCTTAGATTCTGGATAAACAATTGATGACGCCATTTCATTAATTCTGTTTTAAAACTAGCTCTAGATCTGAAATGAAGAGAAACATAGACAGCTTAAGTCCATTCAAAGCCAATAATAGTGCTAGAAAATAAATGCTTTAACAACCTGTAAGATTGATCCATTTATATTTCATTTTTAGAGCCATTTCACTTAACTGTTTGTTTGTTAGCTCTTTTTATTGCAATTAGACTCTGATGCAGAGTTTTATAGAGGTACAGCATAAAAAGATCAAAATAATTATTTTAGGAGTGGAGTAATAATCCAAATTTGATCTCCCAGATATTGAAGTTAGGATTAAAATGTTGCTTTAAACATGATGGATTTTAAAATGGATGAGGATAACGAGTGGACTGCATGACGCGCCATCAGTCCCAGTCTGTCTGTTCTAAACAATGGAGCTCAGCAAAACTTCACTTAGTTCCTGTTTTCAGTTCATTTTTCCTTCGAAGTCCCAGCAGTCTTGCAGGGGGAAATACTGCTGACATTTAAACAGACTCCTGGCTTGTAGAAACAGTCCAAAAATGGAGCAGAATGGAATCTTACTACCTGTAGCACTTTGTAACCACAAAGCAGGCTCAATAGATCTGCAGTAAATGGCTACATTAACATGAACTACTCAGATTTGAGAAGGTTTAACCACCAGCTGTCCGCATTAATAAATGAGTTGTGGATCGGAGGCCTCATATTCATTAAAAATATAACCCTGATCTGGAAATCTTTTTTTTAGGAAAACAAAGGATTCTGTGGAAGAAGGAAAACCGGAGAATGAAATGTGAAGCTGATCGACTTCTGAGTAATTTCCTCCCCTAAGCTCGCCTGTATCTCATCTTTCATGATTAGCGGTTCTTATAGATTAATTTACTGAACCTCATCAAGAACGCAGGAAAAAAGGTGTTTGATCTCATTAGAAGTGCAAAACACTACATAAAAGTGCAAGTTTATGCAATGCGTTTCTTAGTCATTTTAAAAGCATTTTAGAAGATTAAGAATCTAGTTTTACTTAATGCTAAAAAAAAAATAGAAAAGAAAATCTTTATGCTTTTTTTTTTATAGACAAATCAAAACCCTTCAAATGCTAAATTGTTGTTATCTCCATTTAGAAGTTAATGCCATATAAACACAGATTTATGCAAAGAATAGTTCAATTTCCAAACCCGCCCTGAGCGGGTCTATAGAACAGATCAGGAGCTGGAGACGGTCTCCAATAGGTTCTGAGCACCATGATTAAACTCTGTCGGCTCGTATTTATAAATGCTGACATTATAAACACTGTCAGCTGTTTATAGATTCAGCTTGAAGCTGTATTTCTAACGATAGTTTGTTTTGCTTTTTTTAAAAGAAATACTAACAGGATGCTGAAGATGTTTGTTTCAACTGCCAGGAACATTTATAAATACAACTGTTGTTTAAAACTGTCTTTATAAAGTTTGTGAGTTTAAGACACTGAGATTAAATTATAAAGCCCTTAATAGAAAAGCAAACTGCAACAAAGACAGAATCAAATGTTTCTTCCAGGGATATGATGACATCAGTCTGACATGGCTTTAGCTGAGGAAAAAAATAAACACACAGGTACTTTGCTGTGTCTTCAGGAAATAAACCCAGAATTGGTCTCAGCTCCAGTCATAGTTGGAACTGCTTTGGTCCAAACTTGGTGTTTAAGCAGTGATCAAGGATTTAACTTTGTTGATAGTTTTATGGCTTAAATCTGTGATGGTAAAAAGCTCTGAGCCACCTGAGGTTAGCATAACAAGATGCTGATCCTGCTTTGTGGTTCAGATTCATTTTGCTTCTCTACTTTGTTTTTTTTAAACTATAGGATGGAAAAGAAAAAAAACTCCATAAGATCTGAGTGTTGCTTTTGGACAACTAGCAGCTGTCATTTCTTTAAATCCAGTATAGAACAAGAAAAATATCTATTTCCTTCTATTAGTTTTCCCTTCTGCGTAACTTCTGAGGTTAACAGACCAACTCTCAGATCGTTTACCAGATTTCTTGTGTGCTCATATTCATCTACTTGATCTCTGACTTTCTCTTTTTTCCCCTTCCATCTGTTTGTCTATGAGATGTTGGACACGGGGTCACTGATCCTCAGACATCTCCAGTACAAGGTTCTTATCAGGGCGAACAGGGAGAGCAGGATCAGGAGAACCCAGGAAACATAGATGCCTTTTGAGTTCTGAGCCGGTTTCCATGTTCCAACCTTTAACACACAGACACACACATTTGTTTAATCCAGATACGTAATCATAAAAGATTTGTATAAGTATGATTATGTTTTTTAGAACATATAAAAACAACCTGTACTCAAAAAAAAAACTTAACCAAATAGACAAACCATTTCTGTTCATGTCTTACTGGAGTATCGGACACGGAGTTCACAAGGTTTAGCAGAGATGTTTATATTAGCATTTCAATTATTGTTAGAATTTTAGCCTACAATACATACATTAACTCGCTATCAGATGACTTAACTCATTATTTATTTGTTTATTCTGTTGGTTCAGCAGCATCAGAGAAATGAACTTAAAGAATAATAAGTCGTTCCAGCACTGTTCTAGAAACTCCAATATAACCACTAGAAATTCTTCATAAAACTAAAAATATAATTATTCTTCTAAAGACTGTGGAACAACACGGTGTCTTCAGTCAGAGGCTCCTCCAGACTAGGTGTGAGACAGACCACTACAGGAGATCCTTTCTTTCTAAGGCTACTAATATCCACAATAAACAAATGAAATGGATAAGGAAACACCTAGAAGAGTTGGAAACACATTTTAACATACCTCTGAGAGTTTTTTTTTTTTAAGAAATTTTGCATTTTAGATTAATATAAGCTGCAATTAGGATATGAACATAGTTTCCTAATGCGAGTTATCTTTCTAACGTTAGTAAATGTGCATCTATAAATGCTTTATCTAACAAAGCTTATTAGCATTCTAAAGTAATGAGATCATTTATTCAAAGGTTTATCATCATGCTAGCAATAGCATAGAGGCAAACGTTTCAGTTTCATTGTAATGAATTAAAAAAATCCTCTATAGGAATACTGGCTAATTTATGTCAGCTAACATAAAATAGTTGGCAGTTAGCCAAAGTTAACTTCTTTACAAGTTGAAGGAGGTGTGGATTTAGCCCAGATGACATAAAAATACAGCTGCATTTATTGTTTTAAGCTAGAAAAACTAAATCTTATCAACTAAATCAATTCTTTTGATCTCTCTATGCAGGTAATTGTTACAATAAAAATCCTACATAATTGGAAATTGGACTAATTTAGTCATAATCAATAAATTAGAATATAAGTTTATTTACTTCAGGAACTTAATTAAGTACATAAAACACATGATGTAGGTTAAACATATAGACTGATCTTCCAAAACTATAATCATCTTAGCAAAACATATTATCTGCTTACAGCTAATAAAAACAATATCTATAATTAGAACATTACATAAGAACAACTGCTGGCACATTTATATACTATTTTTTGTGTTCGGTTTTCTCCATTTGTTCGTAAACTCAAGCAAGACAACATGACCAGAGTTAGGATAGTTTGCATGTTCACCATGAGTAAATAAGGAAGTTATGGAGCGAAGCACGTCAGCATTTCCCCAACAGAGGCGTTAAAAGAAAGAGGTGAGTCTAAAATCAAACATGAAAAAGCAAAAAATAAAAGATATTGGATGCCCTGACTGATCAGAAAGGAGTAGTAGCCATGAACATGATAAGAACTTTGGTGTTCACTACATCAGGAGCTACAGCTGTGGAAGCTGGTGGGATGAAGTACTGCCAGCAGATGGCGACAGAGTACAAATACCTTCATGTCTGTTGACAGCTAATTTTCTGGGGTTTAAAAGGACTTTGTTGCTTGGTTTGCATACATGGCTTTAATAAGCACAGTACTCACCATGCCCCCTTTAAAGTTTGTTTAAACCCTCATTAATTACTGCAGTCACTACTTTTCTGGTTTCCAGTTTGTATTTGATCACAGCTATGATCAGCCCCATCATGTTTAATTATTTTATTTTATAGTACAATGTACAATAAGTCATCAGTCAAACATAAATGTTGTTTTCCAGGATTTTTTTTTTTTGTTATTTTCATATAAGATTGTCAAAGATTTTATCTGACTTTCTAATTTATACAATATAAATGATTTTGGATCCCACAGAAATGCATGTAATGTCCCCTTTAGGATGGCATGACCCCTTCAGATGAGATCAATGTTTAATGAAAATAACCAGGGTTTATACAGGAATGAGTAACTCTAATTTAATGCTGTTAGAAATCATCTTAATGCCATCAACGCGTATCCATGACTTCCATATATAACACGGTAAAATCCTTCATCATCTTTTCTGTCAACAGGATGCATTAATGTCCCAAATTCCTCGTTTTCCAGTCATTTTTGTTGAAATTAGCATTTTCCCCATTCTCTAGCTTGTTCACTTCTTTTCCGAAAATACGGCTTTACGATCAACCTGAAGCAGTTCTGCGCAAATATATCGCGATATATCTGACAAAGTTGTTTTTATAAACTTTCTTTTTTAATAAGACATTTAAAATACCACAATAATCAAATTTTAATGAATTTTAATGCCAATTCAGGCCTTAATTAAAAAAATAATAATTTAATGACTTTTAATGATCCACGGAAACCCTGACAACAAAAGAACTCTATCAGAAAATCATAGTCTCCTTTAAACAAATCCGTCACTCAGACATCAGTTTCAGATATAAACTCACCAAAAGTCCTGCAGTGGCTGCTACCAACACAACAAAGAACAGGAAACACAGCAAGCTTCTCCTCCTCGGGTATCGCCGACCAACTGAAGAACTGATGAGGAAAGCAGGAAAACAAAACTGAACCCCTTCAACAATCAAAGCCACAGAGGTATGGATCAGTCCAACTCTGATACGTAGAAGAGCAGAAATGCTTACACTTTTCGACAGTGCGGACATCGGGCTAAAGTCCGGTCTGAGATCTCTGTCCACTGGAGGAGATGAATAAAGAAAGTAAAAATCTACAGAACTGGAAAAGTCTGTGCTGCCAGTAACAGTGAGAGTGATTTCTGCTTCACCAGGAATGTGTTGGAGCAGTGTCCACAGATGACCCTGAGCCCCACAGGTTGGCGCTGCGGTTCTGGACTGTCGCTGCCGATGTGGACCGGTCCCAGGTTGATGATGCGTTTACTGCAAGAAAACATTGAAACATCAACAGTGACATTAACCAAATCATCCCTCTGTTTGATCAGAGATGACTCATTATCACAGCCATAGAAGTCTCTTTTAATAAATCAGTATATTGTTAAAATGTATTTTAGTGACCAAATACACTTTACTTTTTACTTACATTAAATATTATTACTTTTTCTTACAACTGCTGAAAAAGACCACTAAAAATAAAATGTAAAAAAAATATGTGCCTAATGAAAATACTTTTATAGTCTTAGTCGACTGTTCCAACGGTTGCAGTTCCAAATTCTCCTGAGTGGTGCCCGACTTTACACGAGTGAATAAAGTGAATGTGATCGGTCGATTATCAAGGGGCGGGATTGTTTTGGTGGAAGTTTCGCAAGCAGGTTTGGTTGTGGCCGGTGTCTCTGAAGCATCTTGCTAACCAGTTAGCAACTTAGTGCTAGTAGGTTCCCAATGGGAAATTCCATTGGGACCAAGTAGCACTAAATTGGTGACTTAGCAATGGCACTGTCAAGGAACGCTATGGACAGTGGAAACATGCAAGAGGAGGAGAGTTTTGTGTCGGAGGTCGTGGATGAGTCTCCTCCGTCATATATTTTTTATTTAGAGGAGGAAAGCGGGGATGAAGATGTTGTGGAAGAGGACGCCAGGGCGGCAGAAGTTTGGTTTGGTGTAGAAGGCTTCCAGCCGTACATGTTTGAGCCCTTGCCTCCCAACGCTACCAGTTCTGTTAGCTCTACGCCTGCTGAAGACACAGACGTCCATCCCCGTGAACACTGGAATGGAACTCCATGGTATATAATGATTCTTATTAGTAAATAATTTAATTAGTAAATAATTATTTCTTATTTCAAGCGTTGCGTATATTAGCTGCGACATATGAATCAAGATGCTATGACCGAAAAAATTTGATTGACAGATGACCGTTGATATATGATTGGCCAAATTTAGCCGTACAAGCTGATGTATAACTAACTGGCCTGAATAAAATAACGAGAAAAAAAAAACAGATTTTAAGGCATAATTTTTTTTAAATAGAAATGTTCTAAACTTTGGGACAATATGGTCTGATAAAGAACACATTTATATATTTACATGTTTAAGCCAGAATGATTTGAAATTTAAATATGACTTCTCTATGACTTTAATAACTACTCAAAGGATTTTATTTTCAAACGGTTAATTTAATCAGAAAAATGAGCCACATTAGAGTGCAAATGCTAACTTATAAAATGTTACTGCATACTTTCCAGTCTTACCAGTAGGGCCTGGGACAGGCGATCCTCTGGGATGTCACTTTGCAGATCAGCAGACAGTTACAAGGACAGCGGACATACTTCTTCCCGACAGGAGCGTTCTTTATCGGCTACGGACAAAAACAGAAACAAACTGCTTTCATTTTGACCACATCAGCAGAAACCCAGAGAGGTCAGATGAACTCTGCCTCCATGGCTGTTAGGGACTAACAGGCAGTCCTCCAGCTCCACATGGCTCTTATGATCAAACATGGGGTTAAATTTGCTCCTTTATCACTTACTGTAGCTTCGTTGCAGATGTTGCATTTCACCACATGCTGATGCGCCTTCCCCTCCACAGAGATGGCGCTCTGACACACCCGACAGCTGATGACCGGGGCGCTGCTGCTGTCCGGGCTACCCTGAGGCGAGTACGGAGGTGGTGCTTCATTGGGTGCCACAAAGCTTGGGAACGGCACTATACCTAAATACAAGAATAAAGAGGCACAAATAACGTTTATTTCTAAGATGTGATTGCTTTTTTTTTTAAACACTAAAATATTACAGCTAAGAACACCAAAGTGGACCGTTTTATTTGTGTTTTAACACACGACTTGTATAGTAAATCATTACACAACGGGGGAAAAAACGGCCCACTTGCTTAGCATTAAACATTGTTATA